GTAGTGGGCTTGGAATTAAGAGGAGTCATCTTCATCATTTCAAATAGGGCCTCAGTCACTTACTAGCTGTGTGACCCTGGGAAAGTGTCTTACCCCTTTTTGCCTCAGTTTCTTATCTGTGAAATGAGTTGGAGAATGAAATGGGAAACCACTCCAGTGTCTTTGCCAAGAAAACCCCAAAATGAGGTCACAAAGAGTCAGACACAAATGAACGACAACAAGAAGACAGTACACACCTATTATTCATTCCACCTAATATTCTTCTAAGATAGGAAATACTCTTGAGGCTCTTTAAACATGAGGAAACTGAGATTGGGGCTTGCATCAGACTATAAACATGAAAGAATCTGAGAGAATACAAATTTAGTTCTCTCCTAAATCCAAATCTATGACAGGTTCTAATAAAAATTTTGCCTTTGAAAAAAGTTTAGATTCCACTTCTCTGTGCATAAGAAAAGTAGCCTGACTGGGGGCATGGATCCCAGAATGGGGAAGGTACAGATTGGATTTCCTCTCTAAGAAAAAAGCTGCTCCAACTGAAGTCATTGTCCTCTCACAGCTTTTCTAAAAGCATTCTTGACATTTTTGTTCCTAAGACTATAGACCAGAGCGTTCAACAGGGGGATGACCATAGTGTAGAACGCTGACACTATTTTGTCTGTGTCCATGGAATGGCTTGAGCTGGGTTGGAAGTACATGAAGATGATTGTCCCATAAAATATGAACACTGCTGTGAGATGGAAAGCACATGTGGAGAAGGCTTTCTGGCAACCATCAACAGAACAGGATTTCAGGATGGTGATGAAGATTAACAAATAAGAAGTAAGGATGACAAGAAACGGAAAAAAGGCATTGAGTGACACTAAGATAAAGACTAGTGACTCTGTGATGTGAATATCAGAGCAAGAGAGAGCTAGGAGAGGGAGAATATTACAGAAAATGTGATGGAGTATGTTGGACCTACAAAAGGAAAAGCTAAACGTGTTTCCTATGACTATGGAGGAGGACAGAAAACCACAGATGTAAGCACCACTGGCCAGATATGCACAAACAGTTGATGTCATGGTGGTGGTGTAATGTAGAGGTTTGCAGATAGCTGCATGGCGATCATAGGCCATAGAGGCTAAGAGAAAACTTTCAGTAACAGCAAAGGTCTCAAAGAAGAACAACTGCATATCACAGCCATTATAGGAGATACCCTTGTCCCCTGTAAGGAGTCTTGCCATCCCCTTGGGAGTAATAGTTGAGGAGTAGCCAAAATCTACCAAAGAGAGGTTACTGAGGAAAATGTATATGGGAGTGTGAGGCAGGAATCCAAGGAAATCAGAACTACTATCCCCAGCTTCCCTACCAGGGTGATGACATAGATGAGGGTGAACATGATGAAGAGAGGAACCTGAAGCTCTGGGTCATCTGTTAATCCTGTAAGGATGAACTCATTCACTTTAGATCTGTTCTCCATGAATGTCATTTTAGAATGATGTTAATCTCCTGAAACAAAAGAGGAACCATCAGAAAAATCCACTCTGCATGATGAATGACTACAAGACATAAAATATGATTCGAACCTATCTTCTGTGAGGGCTAGAAATAAGTAATTAAGGGAAAAAGAACATCTAGGTACTTGTCATAGCAGTTATTCTAAGTCCTCAAAATCCACTCATCCATTTTCTCAGAGAAAGAAGGAGAGAGGGAGAGAGAGAGAGTCACTCATGTATAACATCTCACTACAAATTTAACAATACCCAAATTGGCATTTCCCACTTCAGGAAAGGGAAGTGCCTTATTCTCTTGCAAAAATCAGCATAAGATGGGGATTCCCATTGGTAAGTGTTGGAGAACTAGATCTTTTCTTATGAATACACTTCATTTTTGATAAAAAAGAGAGAAAAGTGAAATAAAAGAGTTAAAGGATAATTCGTATTTATAGAAAAGTTGAAAGACTGTGAGAAGGGAGGAGAGGTTCAAAGAAAGTTGGCTAAGAGTTCATTGGGATCCTACTTAGTCCTTGAATTATTGTGGCTTTAAGGTTGAAGCAAGGAACTGAAGTCACCAGTTTATGAGTAGGATCAGCTGCCAATGGACACCAGTGGGAATCATCTGTGCCAAAGATAATTGGTGGATCACTTCACAATAAATGCATGATTTCTAAATTCGATTCCATCCCACAGCCTGTCTCTTTTTCAATTCTCCACCACTGCCACTGTGGAAATAGAAGGTGACCACAAACAGGGATATTTGACCTTTCATTCATTGTATGGTTTTTTGAAATCACTAATTTTTGGTTAGTCTGTTTCAAGATTGATCTAAAATCTCATCTACAGGATTTTTGATCAATTGATCTCAAAATTGGTACTTTCCCTCTTTTCATTTTCTGTAATATATCCTGGCTATCCTGGCTATATATCCTATTTGTAAACTGGTGTTTGTACATGATTTGTATGGTGTTTATGCTGTCCTTGACGGCAGTGACTCTGTTTTACCTTTCTTTGCATTTAAATGCTTATCATTGTGCTTGACACATGGTAGACCCTTAATAAATGTCTATTGACTCACTGATTGGCCAGTGGTAAACTTCAATGTCTGAACTAAGCTAGGTTGCCCTTTAGGCATCAGAGAACTATGTAGGCCATTCCCAGGCACCACTTTAAGCCTTTACAGCTTGGGAGAACCTGCCACAGTTGTACATCACTCACTTAGTCTTAGAGTACTTTGTTTCATCTTTCCAATCATAAGTTACAACAATTTTCATCGAAGTTATAAATAGGTTGCCACATGCTATCTATAATAATTTGTATATATAAATATATATACTATATATTTACTTTATTACATGTATGTATGTATACATACACACATATATGTATATATACATACATATATATACATACACACATATATGTGTATATACATACATATAGATATATAGATATAACAGAAGTAGAGAATTTCAAGTCAATATATTTCCTCTCAGAGGTCATCTACTTCAGTTCACATGTGACCAGGAGTCACTTTTACAAAAGCCTGCCATAGGGCATGAAAGAGTATAAAAAGGTAAGAACTGGTTAAGCAGGAAGATTGAATGATAAGAGATATACAGTCCTAGCAGCACACTGGGGGCCCTAATGAATTATGCCTCACGTGCATGATTAACTAGAATCTCTAATGCATGAAAACAAATCTGACTGCCAAGGTACCATTTAGACTTTAGGGATAGGTCTCATAACTGCAATTTTGTTCTGGAAAGGTTTTCTTCTCATTTTAATGAAATAGGATAAGTTACAGCATGCCATTATAAAATTTTGGAAGTTAGAAAATATACTTATACAAAGAAATCCAGGAATCATGGTGGGAAATCTTGGTGGAAAGCTTTTATACTGTTATCAGTATATTACTGATGGGAGTCTTCAGTTATCTAGATATCTGTCAGAATGGTCTCTCTCATTCTGCCTTTCTTTCTCTCAATGACATCTTCTGTCTTTCTGTCTCTCAGTATTTCTGCATCTCTGCATATTTGTTTCTCTCTTCTCTGTCTCTGTTTCCTTTTTTCTGTCTGCCTGCTTTTCCATGTCTCTATCTCTCTCAGTTTCTCTCTCTCTCTCTGTCTCTCTCTCTCCCTCTCTCTCTCTCTGTCTCTCTCTCTCTCTCCCTCTCTCTCTCTGTCTCTCTCTGTCTCTGTCTCTGTCTCTCTCTCTCTCCCCTCAAAGAACAACTATTAATTTCTTGATTAATATGGTATTTTAATACATCAAAATCACAAGATGAAGGAATAAATATGAGAAAATTCCATCCTACATTTGATTCCTCTAAAACTTGAAAAATTTTTAAGTAGGGCCAAAAAAAACCACCTGGGAATATTACAAAAGAAGAGGGAAAGTAATTAAATTATCCTAAAAGTTAAGATAGACACAGAAAGGAAAACTAGCAACAGTTAGAAATGCACATTATGCTCAGGGAGAATCATTACCAAGCATTTCAGAGGAGGAATAAAGCAGGATCCCATTGCTTAATTTTATACGGAGTTCAAATGTGAAGGGATAGAAAGATCTCAAAGAGTGAAATTTTGAAGATACAAGAAGACAAATTAACAATTAGGTAGACGCACATACAAGAAATAAATTTGCAGAAATGAAAACAAAAAACGTAGAGGTAACCAAAGATGAATGCAAAAGCAGATCCTATGTTATAATTATCGAGTCAGAGAAGTGCCAGGACTTTGTTTGAACTGCGGGAAGCCCAGTCTAACTACTTTTCTAAGTCAAGACTACAAAAATGTGAGTACTTTTATTGAAAAAGTGGTCTTTTGGGGAAACAAATGATAATCAAATCAGTAACTGGACTGATTCTCAATACCCATGAGGCAAGTATGATGAATGACAACCAAAGACAGAGCTGCTCAGTTTGTATTTTGTTTCTATCTTCTCTGACAAAGAGAATGATCTTTGGATTTAGAAAGACAGAAAAACTAAGAGTTGAAAACAAGAAAAAATGAGAACTAGAACCTATAGTAATGGAAATAAGGGAAGAAGCATTTCTATATCATTTATTATGTGCCAGACATTGCGCTACACTTCATAAATATTATATTATTTGATTCTCACAACAACCTTGTGAAGAAGGTGGTGTTATTATCTCCTTTTTAAAGCTGAGGAAACTGAGGTAAACAGGGGCTGAGTAATTTGCCCAAGGCCATTCCTTAAGTGTCTGTGACTTGATTTGAATTTAGGACTTCCTGTCTCCAGTCCCAATGTTTTATCCACTCTACCAGAGTTGCTTCTTTAAAATTTGCAGAGTATTTAAACACATTGCATTATTTGGTCCCCACTACAACTTTGTGATTTCCATGGAAAACAAGAAAACTAATCTGTCTTCTCACACTATCCAGACATACTCTGGTTCCTCTCTAGTCTACATTTGGGGCAACATGTTCAGTCGTGGGTTCCACACTTTAGGAAGGACTTTGATAAGCTAAAGATTCTCCAGAGGAGTTCAGCCAACATGGAGAAGGACTTTGCAATCTTGTCATATTAGGACTGGTGGAAGAAATTGAGAGTGTTTGGTGTAGAAAAGATAAAAGATGGGTGTCAGGGCAGGGGTTGGGATTGGTATCTTCAAGTATCTTCAAGACTGACATATGGAGGAAGAA